CCTCACTGAGGGAGTGCTGTGGGGGGATCCTCAGAGGGTGCTGGGTGATCCTCACTGAGGGGGTTGCTGTGGGGGGGGACCCTCACTGAGGGGGAATCCTTTCTTTTGTGCTTGGGCTGGAATCCTCCTTTCTTTTGTGCTTGGGCTGGAACTCACGTGCCCCAGCAGCCACCCAGCTAGCAGCACAGATCCCAGGGCTGCAGCCAGGAAGCTGCAGGTGTGTGAGGTTGGCTGCTCCAGCCTGGCTTTGGCTTCACTACTTCCTGACAGCAGACCCGCTCCCCTGTGAGAGACGCACCACAGTCCCTCCTCCCGGGGATGACAGCAGCTCTCCTGTCGCCTTGCCTGCCTCCAGGTGTGAAAGTCCAAATACAGTCTCTCAACGGTGAGCACCTGCACATCCGAGAGTTCCACCGGGCCAAAGTGGGAGACATCGCAACTGGCATCAGCAGCCAGGTGAGGCAGGTGCTTTTAGAACCCTGGAAATGCTGCCACCGCGCCTCCCCCCGCCCCCCCGTCCCAGCACAAGACTGGCAGGACTGGGGTGGGGTGGCATCTCCAGGCTGCCCGTTGACTGGAGGGAGGTGCCCCCCCACCCAGTGTGCCAGGACTGGCTTGATGCCTCCCTGTGCTGCTTAGCCCATCTCAATCCTCCCTTGTGCTCCACCCCAGATCCCAGCCACGGCCTTCAGCTTGGTGACCAAAGACGGGCAGCCTGTTCGCTGTGACATGGAGGTGCCAGACTCAGGCATTGACCTGCAGTGCACCCTGGCCCCTGACAGCAGCTTTGCCTGGAGCTGGAGGGTAAAGCATGGCCAGCTGGAGAACAGGCCGTAGCCCTTGCCACCGCCGCTCCACTGACGAGGCAGCGTCCTCCTCGTGCCCAGTGCTACCCTGAGATAGGCCTGGCCTGTTTGGGGTCTGCTGTCTCCTGGGAGCAAATGAAATGCACCCAGGCTTCTCACCTGAGCCCTTGAGCCCTGCCCTCTACATGAAGAGACAGAGGCTGTCTCTGGAGGAGGACCCGTGTCTGGGAACAGAATGGAGAGCGGTGGGCGACGGTCCAGGGCCCACGCCCAGGCCACCCCAGACCGGGGCAGCAGTGGGCCCAGCCATGGGTTTGTGGGGGCCTCAGCCCCTAGCCTGGCCGTCCTGACCATTCCCCCTTTGGGATGGAGGAGAAAGGAAGGGACTCGGCCTGGGACAGCTCCTTGGTAGAGCTGCCACCTTCAAGAGCTGCCGTGGCACAGGTCCTGAGTCTACCTGCAGTTCCGCCAGGGCCCAGCGAAGGTGGCAAGGGAAGTAGTTCTCAGTCTCAAGCTCAGCACGTGTGCTTTGCTGCTGGCCACCACTGCTCCCCAGAGTGCTTGGCCCCTTGCGCTCAGTTCCCTCATCTAAGTACAGAGTGGCAAGAGTGGTTTACAGAGAGTGGGTGCTACAGAGAACGGCAAGTGCAGATGCCCTGCTGGCCACCAGCGTCCACTCGCACTGGCCTGGCTGTCCCTGGCATGGAGGGCCACTGCCAGCTGCACTTTGCACTCTGATGACCTCAAAGCACTTTCCTGGCTGCCCATCAGGATGGCAGTGGCTCTGCGTGGTGGGGAGGGCACGGTCCCCAGTACGCACAGGTGACCTCCAGGTGCCTGCCCTCTGCTGCGGGAAGCCGCCCAGGACTCATGAAGCATTAAATCAACTGTGAATTAGAGACACTTGTCCCACACCAAGCCAGGGTGGCCTCTGTCCAGCTGTTCCGTGGAGTCAGGCTGCTGCAGAGCGCGCCCCGGCCTGGCTGAGGGGCCACAGCCTCGGCTGTGCAGCGTGTGGGTTGCAGAAAACTGTGAGGAATAAAATGATGTTGACAGAAGTCTCGGGACCCAGGCGTCTCTCCGGCCTGCCCGAGCCTGTGGTGGGTCTTACAGTCCCTGCGTGGGGGCAGGGGCAGCCCTTCCCCGGGGACACCGAGGCCTGTAGGCTTGGCGAAGGTGAGGTGCGGGCACTGACCAGTTGCCCGCCGAGCGACTGGGTGGGGTCAGGGCGACCTTCCCGGAACGGGTGAACACGGCGCCGCCCCTCCCCAGGTGTACGCCTGCTCCCAGCCGCGCTGGCAGGGGTTCCTCAGCGGCCCTGCGCCTGGAGCGCACACATGCTCCTAGCGGTGGCCGGGGCGCGGTGGACGTCACAGAGGGGCGACCTCACAGGCGTCCGCATCCCCATCCGCCGGCGCCCCCGGCCCCCAGCCAAAGAACGCACTGGAGGCGGAGGGGCAGCAGCCAGCGACCCGCGCCCCGACGACGCAGCCTCGGCCCGCATGGGGCGCACAGGTCGG